TTTACTTCCTGTAAATCATGCTGCTTGAGATTAGCAGCAGACATCCTGAGCCCTAAAGGCTGAGCCGAGTGAGTCATGATAGTTTTTATTAAATATTTATTGAGTATTCACGCTGAGATAGAAGGTCAGAAGCAACCACAGGTCTTCCCCTAGCAGAGCTGCCGTAGTTTCTTTGATAGCAGTTGTTAACACAATGCAATAGAACAATTGGATCCCTAGAGCCTCTGCATCTGTCACCTAGAGGGAAGCTAGACTGCGGCAACAGCAGCCTTCCCATGGCTCCTGTGTGTGAGCTCTTGTCAGTAACTTTGTAGGACTTGTCACACCAGCCGTCCAAGTTTAGAAGTTTAGTTAACCCAATCAATGATAACCTTTCCCCTTGCTCTGATGTTTGAAATTTCATCAGTGTTCCAAGGCAGTGGTAGTGTACATGTGTGTAAGCTGGAATGTATATGTCAATGTCTGGTAAGAACCTATTACATTTTCTTTCTTTTTTTTTTTTGTCTTTTTGAGACAGGGTCTCCCTGTAGCCCCAGCTGTCCTGGATCTCACTATATAGACCAGGCTGGCCTTGAACTCACAGAGATCCACCTGCCTCTGCCTCCCAAGTGCTGGGATTAAAGGAGTGCACCACCACGTGGGCCTGGTCTTACATTTTCTTTCTTTATTGTGTGAGCATATGTTTGCTGTGTGTCCAGTTGAAGTCAGCAGACATCTACTGGGAGTTGATTCTCTGCCCATCATGTGAGTTCCCAGGTATCAAACTCAGGTTGTTAGGCTTAGCGACAGGCACCATTACCTGCTGAGCCATCTCCCTGGCCCTCAGTTAAGCTTTTATGTAACTGGTATGTAGCAATTGTTTTGGCCCAATTTTGAAGAATTAGATTTATCAGAAAAAAGCACCAGACTAATCCATATATAAGGCAGAGCGTTATTAAGAGCTCCAGCATGTTTACCTTCCTGCTGGGAGGCCATAGACAGAGGTTAACACTCACTGTCTCAGTCTAGTGGTGTCTCTGTCTTAATGTTGCTTTTTGTTCATTTGACTTTCTGTTTCTTTTCTGTGTGCTTACTGCATCTATCTTTATCTGTGGCTTTTCCCACCCCAACACAGTGATCAGCCGTCACCTGTAAAGAGAATCTCTGCAATTTTTTATGTAATTTCAAGCACGCTGCAAGCTGAAAATAGGTCTAGGAAACATACAATCAGGAATCTTAGAAGTCTTTGGATTTCCTGTTGTGAAAACACATTCAAACTGATCAACCAAAAGCCACAACAAATGTACTGATAATTCCCTCCCCTGTTAGATGTGCTCTACTTAGAGAGGAAGATGATAATTCTTCTAACAATAAACTTCAGACAAAAGAGAACCTGCTGACTGTGAACTACCAGAATAATAAATCTCAACAGTAGAGGTATTAATCACTTTGCTTAGCAAATCTATTAGTCTAACAGTTTCTTGGGCAAAATTTAAAATGTGTGGTTGTAATTTTTTGTGGTTGGTGTTTATTTCTTTGTTTATTATGGTTCTGGGGATTGAATATCGGGCTTTCAAAGCAGACACTCGGCCACTGAGCTATATCCCTAGCCTTTTATTTTGAGACAGGGTGTCACAAAATTGCTCCAGCAGGCCTTGAACTTGTGTTTCTTCTGCCTTAGCCTCTTGAATAGCTGACTTCCTAAACTTTTTTTTTTTTCCTCCTTTGGTCTTTTTGAGACAGGGTTTCCCCATAGCCCAAGTTGGCCTGGAACTCGCTATGTAGACCAGGCTAGCCTCAAACTCAGAGATCCACCTGCCTCTGCCTCCTGGGTGCAGGCTTAGTACCTAATCTTCTAAGAAATCTCAGTCCCTTTAGAAACATCACCTTTTACATCTTAAAGTCCCTCTAAAACCTCTGATGTACGTGTATTTGAAAATAAAGTTAAATTCATTTTTTAAAAAGGAGAGGCCACTGGCAGTGCTCATTACTGCCCAGCTTGCTGCCTCTTGCACTTACTCAGTAAGCCTGTTTTCTTCATATATACATAATATGTACTTGTGTTTGGGGGAGGGGGGAGACTTTTAATTTTCTGCAAATTGTTTATTTTATCTTGATCATTCCAAAAGTAAGTATAGCATCAAAAGAATCTTGTATTTGCAAGTTAGGGATTCTAGACAAAATGCCATGTGCCACACCCTGGTTTTAGCCCTTGTTAGGAGTAACTGATTCTGTGTGTCCTCCATGGGAGCGAGACAGGGCGGCATCAGCCCTAGACTTTACAGCGCAAGTCTCTGGTGGCTTTGAGGCCCTGGTATCTATAGCTTACTTCTGTTTACCCTTCAGTTTCTCTAATTTCTCAGTTCTACGCTAAAGGTAATCTGATCAAATGATTAACCACCGGAATTAGCTTTGAAGCTGGTCTCTTGGCCATATTGAAAGTTATATTACTAGGTCACAGAACTGTAGAATTTGAGAGCTTTCAAGAGACCTTTGAGATCAGATAGTTTAAAGGGGGAGTGAGTTGGAATTGAACTTGTATTTGCAAGATGGTAATTGTAGCCGGGTGTGGTGGCGCACACATTTGATCCCAGCACTTGGGAGGCGGATCTCTGAGTTTGATGCCAGCCTGGTCTACATAGTGGGTTCCAGGCCAGCTGGGACTACAAGGAGACCGTCTCAAAAAAAAAAAAAGATGGTAATTGTCATAAGGCATGGAATATATGTATTTGAATGAATGAACAGGGTTTTAGTCTTTATGAAGCAAGTTACTTATCTAAAATAGATTAGGTTATAAAGAAGTATTTTAGGTAATTACTTGATTTGAATATAGGCTATTATAAGCAGAAGTAGAAACTTGATGTTTTGTTTCATTTCTTTGGGTTTTTTTGAGACAGAGTCTCCCTGTAGCCCCAGCAAGGGCTGGTATACCAGACTGGCCTTGATCTCACAGAGATCTGCCTGCTTCTGCCTCCTGAGTGCTAGAACTAAAAAGGCACACAACACCATGCCTGGCATGACACTTGTTTTTAATTTTTATTTATTTAATATGTATGTGTTGCTGGGCGTGTTGGCACACGCCTTTAATCCCAGCACTTGGGAGGCAGAGGCAGGCAGATCTCTGTGAGTTCAAGGCCAGTCTGGTCTATATAGTGAGTTCCAGGACAGCTGGGGCTACAGGGAGACCCTGTCTCAAAAACAACCAAGAAAAAAAAAAAAATGTGTTTATGTGCACCACATGCATGCAGGAGTTTTCAGAGATCAGAAGAGGGTGTTAGATCCCCTGGGACTAGAATTGCAAGTGGTTGTAAGCCACCATATCAGTGCCAAGAACTGGGGTCCACTGAAAAAGCAGCCAGTGCTCTTAACCACTGAGCCATCTCTCTAGGCCCAGAAACTAACTTTTTTACTACAGAGAATTTTGCTGCCTGTTAACACTATCACATAGCCATCCATTTTCCTACTGAGCAAAAGACCTCATTGGAAATGCATAGTAGCCTTAATATTAAAAGTATTTGGGGTTTGGGGTGTAGCTTGGTGGTTGGACTTTTCTTTGCATGTAAATCCCTGGGTTCAATCCCTAGCACCACACGCACACACAAATTATTGGGAGGTAGGTACAATACTACATGCCTATGATAGTGTCAGCATTTGGGGAGCTGATAGCTCAGTGGTTAAGAGTACTTGCTCCTGAAGAGGACTCAGATTCAGTTCCCAGCACACACATGGCAGCTGGCAGCTGTCTCTAACTGTAGTTCCGGGTGATCTGATACCCTCTTCTGGTATCCACAGGCATTGCATATGCAGGTACACTCAAACATTGCAGGCAAAATACTCATGCACATAAAATAAAAATAAATAAATCGGGCTGGAGAGATGGCTCAGCAGTTAAGAGCACTGACTGCTCTTGCAGAGGACCCGGGTTCGATTCCCAGCACCCACATGGTGGCTATGACTTGTCCTTGACTCCAGTTCCAGGGGAATCCGAAGCCGCTTTCTGACCTCCGCAGCATTGCACGACACGGGTGCACTCACATACATGCAGGCAATATACTCATACACATAAAATAAAAATAATAAATAAAATATTTTAAATAAAAAATAAATCAAGAGCCAGGTGCAGTGGTGCATGCCTTTTAATCCAGCTGTTAGGAGGCAGAAGCAGGCAGATCTCTGAGTTGGAGGCCAGCTAGGGCTATGTAGTGAGACCCTATCTCACAAAAACAAAAGGTAAATAAATTTTTAAAAAATTAAAAATAATATAATGTCAGCACTTGGGAGAGAAAGGCAGGAGAATGGAGAGTTCCAGGCTAGCCCAGGCTACATAGAGACTGCCTCCAAAAAAAAGAGCAATCTTGAGTTAACCTGTGTTATTGAAGAAATAACCACTCAGTTGTGGGCTGTTTTTTGTTGTTTTGTTTTGCCCAAACACCTACAGCCAAGATGCTGTTTCAGATAGTTAAGCTGTTGTATATATCTGATAGTATATGTATGATATTTTCATAATATCTCTTTTAAAAAATACAGTATTTTGGGAGCTGGAGAGATGGCTCAACCGCTAAGAACACTGGCTGTTCTTAGACCTGGGTTCAAATCCTAGAACCCACATGGCAGCTAACTGTCTGTAACGCCAAATCAGCTAACTGTCTGTAACGCCAGTTCCAGGGGATCCGACAGCCTCTTCCACCCTCTGCGGGCACCGCACAACATGGGTGCACTTACCTACATGCAGGCAATACACACATACACATAAAATAATAAATAAATTTTTTTTTTAAATCCAGTATTTCTTGACCTTGTGTTACAGGTAAGGAAATTAGTAAGTATACATTTAACCAAAAACAGAAAGAAATACAGTCACTCTTAAACTTTCAGACTGGGTGGGCAAGGCTTCAAGAAGACACTGCATGTGTCTTATGCTGAAAAAGAAAGGGAAGTGGTATGTGCCACACTGTCGTCCCCTCCGTAAACCTTCAATCCTTAGAAGCAGCTTTGTGACTGTCCTGTCTCCTCACCCTCAGTCCACCTGGAAGGCTGCTGTGGTGGAAGGCTGTTTGATTGCAGAGATGTGGTATTCATTGTTGGTGAAGGAGAAGACCACGACATTCCAATCGGAATTGACAAAGCCCTGGAGAAAATGCAGAGGGAAGAGCAGTGTATTTTGTATCTTGGACCACGGTAAGAAGCACCAGCTTTCAGTACACAGCGAAGTTACCTGAGGGAAAGGGTCTGCTGCTTCCTCACTCAGCATTTTGGTGTGTCAGTGTGGTGCACACAGTAGTGGCGGCATTTTCAGAATCGGGTGCCAGTCGGGACATTTGGGGCCTTAGAGCACCACAGAGGTCTATGAGCAGATTTGCTCATGACTGGCCTGTTTAAGACTAGGACTGACGGTCAAGTCTCGCTTTTTGTTTGTTCTCCTGCCATGTTACCACGTCAGGCAGCTCCTGGCTCCTCTTGTGTGGTTCTCTTGCCCCTCTTCTCCTCTCTGCATTCAGCAGGAGGCAGTCAAATGTGGGCATTGGGAGTTGAGGCATTTGGATGATTTACTACTATTTGACTGTATGCCACATGTTCTTATACAGAGTCCCCAAAGGAAGAAAAACCCCAGCTTGTGCTTCCTGGATCTAAAGGCAGCGGAGATGACTCATCTTTGCCTAAAATTTTCCCATCATAAGGATATCCATTTGCACTTCCAAGCTTAGAACTACCCAGCACAGTCTCTTGTGAAAACGTGTTTGGTATTATTTTTAGATCTAAAACGGTCCCATAAATTCAGCTCTTCTATCTTGAGAAATGGACCCCTGAGAGATTCTGGGTGTTTTGATGCCATCTGCATATAAGTGTGTCTGCTTGTCCAGCATGGCTTCCTTGGGCTCCACAGATTTCCAGACTTTTGACGTCCTCACCTTCCAGTAGGGCCAGCTGTGCCTTGTGTACCATCCTTTGCTTTGTCACCTCTGCAGTGACAGCCCAGTGCTTAGTCCATGCCCTTATCTTTTAGATATCTCAGCCGTGCAACTACATCTTAAGTCTTTCCAAAATGCTCCACCCCAAGCTCTTTAAAGTTGTTGCTGCTGCGCTTTTTATGAATGCCTTACTATTCCCTGCTCCAACTTCGGCTATAGTCACACCTCAGTGTGCTTTTGTTTTTTTCTCTATACTTATAGTTCACTCTAAGGTGAAGCTATTTTTCAGTTGAGAACTTTTTTCTAGAGAAGGTTGTCTCTTCCATATTCCCCAGTCTCTTAATCTTAATATTCCAAAATTATGGTAGTTCTAATTCAGAAGGTGGGATTTAGGTCTAAGGCATGTTCTCATGGCTAAGCTTCTTATGGAGAAGTTCTGTAAATAATAGGAGCATTTAGTATCACGTGAATCTGATCTTTACATGTTTAGCATAGCTGATAAGACAGTTTGGGGAGCAGATGTCTCAAATTTAAAAGCAAAGAAGAATAAAAACTACTTTGTATTTATTAGTGCAAATAGCTCCTTGCAGGTTTAAACTGTTAGGTCATTCGCAGCAGTTAAATCCTGCTCTTTGCAGCTTACCAGCAGCATGCATTTGGCCAAGTCACTAACTTGCCCTAAGCCTAACTGAGTCCCCTGTATGAATGAGGATAACAGTTCCACCTCCCAGAGCTACATGCAGCCAAAGTATTTAGCAAACTCCCCCTAAGCCTCCCTGCAGTAGCCAGGACAACATTTGCAGTGGCTCTTTCTTTTCCATTTTACCCTTGGCCATAAGAAATGAAATCTCGGCCAGACATGGTAGCAGCCCAGCACTCCGGAGGCAGAGGCAGTCGGATCTCTGAGTTCCAGGCCAGCCAGGGCTACATAATAAGACCCTGTCTCAATAAACAAACAAAACAAAACAAAAAAAGATCTCAATTGAGCATATTCATAGAGTTCTGAGATCTTTTCAAATATAAAAGTAGTCAATAAGCTCTCATAAATTCCTGAGTAAAAGGGTTTTTAAAAATGTTTTTAAGCCGGGAGTGGTGGCTCATGCCTGTAGTCCCAGCACTTGGGAGGCAGAGGCAGGTGGATCTCTGTGAGTTCAAGGCCAGCCTGGTCTACATAGTGAGTTCCAGGATAGCTTGGGCTACAGGGAGACCCTGTCTCAAAAAGACCAAAAAAATGCAAATAATAACATTTTGCTTTAGGGATTTTATGATGGAA